CCATGGCTGAGCTCCTCCCATCCCGATATTTGGGGTCTGGGGCCATGGCTGAGCTCCTCCCATCCCCCATGTGGTGTTTGGGGCATCCCGGCCGATTCCCTGTCCCACAGGTGGTGCGGCGGCACATCCTGGGCTCCATCGTGCAGAGCGAGCGGAGCTACGTGGACTCCCTGAAGCGCATCCTGCAGGTGGGATCCCCGCTCGGGTTCCTCCGGGGGTGTTTCCGTGGATCCCGGGGTGCTGACGCTCCGGCGCTCCCGCAGGATTACAGGAACCCGCTGCTGGAGATGGAGCCAAAGGTGCTGAGCGCCAGGAAGTGCCAGGTGGTGTTTTTCCGGCTGAAGGAGATCCTGCAGTGCCACTCCATGTTCCAGATCGCCCTCGCCTCCCGTGTGGCCGAGTGGGACTCAGCCGAGAAGATCGGGGACCTCTTCGTGGCCTCAGTAGGAGGGGAGGGAGGAGGAAGCTCTTCCCAGAAGGATCGGTGGGGCCTCGGGAGGGGCTGCCCAGGGAGGGGCTGGGACCGTGGAGTCACTGGGACCATGGAGTCACCATCCCTGCAGGGGTTCAGGAAGAGCCTTGACGTGGCACTCGGTGCCATGTTCTGGGGGACAAGGCGGGCTTGGGTCGCAGGTTGGACTCGATGATCTCGGAGGTCTTTCCAGACTCAGTGATTGAGGGATCCTGTGAAATCCAGGAGAAATCCCCCCACTGTTGTGGGTGGGAGTGGGAGGCTTGGACAAAGCTCTTTAAGAAGCCCTGCCCTGGAGGCTCAAGGTGCAGAAAGGCCCCCCCAGCTTCCTCAGCTCCTTCTCCAAGGGGGTGAAACTGGATCCCATCATAGCCTCAGACTGTGTCACCAGTTTAAATGTGAGCAGTTAGAGGGGTGTGATTGAACCACTTCTGTCCTGCAGGTTTTCACTCTGGCAAACTGAGGGTATTTATGTAAAATGAATTATTTATTAGTGCAAACGATCAGACAAAAGATCTCGATCAGAATTATTTACTGCACAATACAAAAGCTAAACCTACTAATGTAGGATAGGATAGTGCACAATAGTAAAGCAATTATTGGAGCAATTATATTAAAGCAAAAAGAAATAATTATCAAGTAGAGGTTTGATGTAACTCACCCAGACCAATGTTTGTGGGGAGATTTCTTTCTCTCAGCCTCCAGGATTGTCCCCACCCAAGGGAGGGATCTCCACACAACCACCCCAAGAAGGGTTATGCTGGAAAACCTCCTGTGTAAAAGTGGCCTGGGCTTTTATAGTTGAAAAGTCTGCTGGTCACACACTTCCAGGCCAGGGAGCAGCTCATCTGTCCAATCATGCTGCCAAGAGCAGGATGTGTTTGGGGTTTGGGGAACCAGGCTGGTTTTAGCACAGCTCAGCACCAAAACCCCTCCTGGCAGCAGCAGGAGCTCAGCAGAGCCCCCCTGGCTGGGAGCTGGAGTGGTTTGCATTCCCTGCCTGGATTCCAGCCTGCTCAGGGTGGAACCTGCCCCAGCCACCACCAAACCCCCCCCCGACCCTCCCAACCACACCGGGGGGTGGGGGAGGATTTAAGTGATGCAGCTCCAGCCCTGGGGTCCCACCATCACCCTCAGCATTGCCCCAAAAACACACCAACCCCCCACTTCTGGGGGACTCCCACCCCATCCCGGGTCTCCTGTGCTCTCCCAGTTCTCCAAGTCCATGGTGCTCGACGTCTACAGTGACTACGTCAACAACTTCACCTCAGCCATGTCCCTCATCAAGAAGGCCTGTCTCACCAAACCTGCCTTCCTCGACTTCCTCAAGGTCAGCACCACCCAAAGGTGGGCCCACGGTGCTGCTGGGCACCGTTTGGGGTGAAAACTCCTTTTTTCCTGGCCTTTGTCCCCCCCGCAGAAGAGGCAGATGGCCAGTGCCGACCGGGTCACGCTCTACGGGCTGATGGTGAAGCCCATCCAGAGGTTCCCTCAGTTCATCCTTCTCCTGCAGGTACGGGAGGGAGATACCTGCACCCACCTTGCTTTGCACCCCTGGGATGTGTCTTTGCACCCCTTTTTTGGCATGGGGCATGTTTTAGGGTCGGTGACTTGGTTGCATCTTTGGGGACTGTCCCAAGGACCGTCTTCCAAGCTTTGATTTTGGAGGTGCTTTTGAACAGGGCTGATTTTTTCCGGGGTGGTTTTCGTCCCCGTCTCCTTTCCCTTCTCCAGGACATGCTGAAAAACACCCCCAAGGGCCACGCAGACCGTCTGTCCCTCCAGCTGGCCCTCACTGAGCTGGAGACGTTGGCGGAGAAGCTCAACGAGCAGAAGCGCTTGGCCGACCAAGTGGCTGAGATCCAACAGCTCAGCAAGAGCATCAGCGACAGGAGCAGCCTCAACAAGGTGGGTCCTTCAGCCTCCCCTCCTCATCCTTGTCATGGGTAGGTTTTGGAGCTGGTGGTTGGGGTTTGAAGCTTCCACCTTCCTCTTGGTGTCAGGGGCTTCAGGAAACCAGATCCCTGCTGTCCCTGAAAGGACTTTAATCAAAACCAAGTCTTGGCGTTGGCACAGGGAAATTCCGGGACGAGCTGCTGGGTCTCATCCCCCTGATTTTGCAACTGTTTGTGTCTAAAAAAAGAACCCGAAGTTCTTGCGACACATCCTGGGCTGGGGATGGCAAAAACCACGGCGGGGCAGCCGCTGGCTCGGTGCTGGGATCGGGATTTGGATCCGGGGCATGGAGAGAGACCCAGATAAGGGTGGTTGGACACACGGGGTGCAGAGGGTGCAGCCTCGGAGCGCAGTGCCCGTCCTGTTCCGTGGGACTCGGGGCTGTCCGTGCGCCCAGCTGGAGGAAAATCCTTGGAATAATGGAAAACCGACCCAAATTTTGGGTCAGGAGGCTTCCAAGAGCCCCCAGGCTGAGCCCCCTGCCCGCTCCCTCCCCTTTGCAGCTGCTGAGCTCGGGGCAGAGGCAGCTCCTGCTCTGCGAGACGCTGACGGAGACGGTGTACGGGGACCGCGGGCAGCTCATCAAGTCCAAGGAGAGGAAGGTTTTCCTGCTCAACGACATGTTGGTCTGTGCCAACATCAACTTCAAGTATGTGCTGGTCCCCCCAGACCCCAAAATCAGTTAGTGAAGTGCTGATATACCCAACCTGCTCCGTCCCCACCTCAATGTTTGGCCTGGTGGGATTTTTGGGGAACTATGGCAAGGAGGGACAGAACCTTTAAAGGCCACCTTGCCTTGTTTTGGGGAGGAACCCACCTGGTTTGGGGTTTCTTTGCCCCATTGTTGGCACTCTTTGTGCCGAGCCTTGGCATTCCTTGGTGCTGGAGTCAGTGCAGGGTCTGGGAACATGCTGGAACCTTGGGGCTTGGTGGAGGTTGATGCTGCCAAGGGGAAAACCTTCCTTAAATTCCTCCTAAAACTTCCTTATTAATCCTTTTTCCCCTTTTCCAGGCCAGTGAACACAGGGTAGGTCCCAAACGTGGTCTGCTGTGCTTGTGTGCCCCAGGCTGGGGGTTCAGGCATGCACTGGTGCAGGGGGTGGGCTCACAGGGGGGGCTTGGCTTGCACGACTCGTGTTTCGGGGCGAGCCGAGGCACCTGCTGTTCACTGACACCCGTTTTTCCCTCTCCCCTCGGCAGAGGCCAACTGGAAATCAGCAGCCTGGTGCCCCTGGGGCCCAAATACGTGCTGAAGTGGAGCACGGCCCTCCCGCAGGTGCAGGTGGTGGAGGTGGGGCAGGAGAGCGGCGCCTACGACAAGGACAACGTGGTCATCCACAACGCCGGCGCCCGCAGACACGCGCCCGCCGGGCAGGCCTCGCACAGTGAGGGCACAGCCCGGGCTGGGGGGGCTGGGATGGAGCATTCCTTCACACAGGGACTGCCCGGGGAGGTGATGGGAGTCCCCATCCCTGGAGGTCTTTAAGGAAGGACTGGATGTGGCCCTTAGTGCTGTGGTGGTGTTGGGTCAAAGGTTGGACTTGATCTTGGAGGTCTTTTCCAACCTAATTGTCCCTGGGATCCTCCATGGACCTCAATTCTCCATTTTTCCATGCAAGATGAAGTCACACAGTGGTCTGCGTGGGGGTGGTGGAGACACCATCCCTGGAGGGCTTTAAGGGAAGACCCCTCAGTGCCACGGTGTGGTTGATGTGGTGGTGGTGGGTCAAAGGTTGGACTCAATCTGGGAGGTTTTTTCCAACCTTACTGATTCTGGGATCTTCCATGGACCTCAATTTTCCCCTTTTCCTCCCCAGATAAAGTCTACCTGGGGCCACCGCGGCTCTTCCAGGAGCTGCAGGACCTGCAGAAGGACCTGGCGGTGGTGGAGCAGATCACCCTCCTCATCAGCACCTTGCACGGCACCTACCAGGTACCCGTGTGGGGACAGCCAGCCTGGGGCACCTCCCAGCACCATGGGGTTCCTTGGCACCTCTTTGGG